ATTGTGCCCCAAGCTTTCTGATCTAAAAGTTGGGCATACTGTCGATTCTGGACAGGTCTGCTTGTACGAACAAAGCAAATTAGCACTGGACCCTTCACAAGGGTCTTTGTTATTTGCTAAATGTGAAAGCTCTCTTCCCACAGAGTGACTGCTTGCCAGCACAAGATCCCACACCTGTGAGCTTTAACAGCAACTGCTGATAACCAGGTTTACGAAGGATACGATATAAATTGTTGTGTTTGATCCACATGAATCGAACCACTCCATGTGACAGGATTGGCGTGAGGGAGCACTCTTCCTCTTTCTCCATCAGAATAGACATGAAGTGTTCAATTTCTGACATCTCCACATCTCCCCGATAATTCCGGCAAATCAGGACCTGATAAACAAAAGAAATAGTTATTTTGTATATATGATGTACAATTCTTTAAAGAAGCAGGGTGATTAAATTATGAGAATAATTATGTGCAACAGGGCAGCTTCACAAGTGAACACTCAGTGTCAACCAGTGAGATGGAATTTGCGTATTTCCAAAACCTAAAGCTAACACGAGTAACTTTCAAGTCAAGTGCAGTACAGCCAAATGTAGATCTAAGTCCCGCCACCCAGGTCCAACTTCAGATAGGCATCATATACAACAAAGACCACAGCATCCATTCTGTGACTTATAAATAAGAGTGCCAAAGTATGGGCAACCTTACATAGAATTTACAACACAACAGTCCATTCAGTCCAATTAGCCTACAGTATTGCAAACGATTCTCCTCCTATTCCAATTACCTCTGCTAATCCTTCCCGTGTCTCTTTACTACCTTCCAAATGTATACATCAAAGCTCCCCTTAAGTGCATCGTTGCTATCTGCTTCAAGACCTCGGTGGCACCAAGTTTCACGTTCTCACCTTACTCACTGTGAAGAAGGTCCTCCGTTAATGGCCATCATGTTTATTCCAGAGTCTCTGTAATCCATTTTACACAGTCAATAAAAAAGCAGAGTTCTTACGCCTCCAACCAAAATAAACCACCTTGCACATTGCTGAAGAAGTTTCATTTGTCACTGATCCACCCAATGTGCAAATCTGTCCACAGTTTATTATATTTTGGCGCAGATCCCACATGACATCTACACTCCCACCACTCCTAAATTTTAGTGTTAAAGTAAATGGAGAACAGAGGAGTGATTTAAAAATTTACTTAAAATTTCCCAATGGGAGGTAATGGCCTAATGGCCTAATGGTATTATCACTGGTCTGTTAATCCAGAGATCCAGGTAATGTTCTGAGGGCCCAGGTTTGAATCCCGCCATGACAGATGGTGGAATCTGAATTCAATAAATATCTGGAATTAAGAGTCTAATGATAACCAATCCATTGTTGATTGTTGGAAAAGCCCACCTGGTTCACTAATCAAGGAAACTGCCATCCTTACCTGGTCTGGTCGACATGTGACTCCAGACGCACAGAAATGTGGTTGACTCTTACGGATAATAAATGCTGGCCCAGCCAGTGATGGCCTCATCCCATGAATGAATAAAGGAAAAAAAAACTAAACATTGCTCTCAGAAAATGGCAACACTGGGCCTGAACAGGCTGGTCTCACAAATAACTTGTAGCCATGAGATGGTTAAAGACAGGGTATAGATTTGCCACTCTACTATGGACCAGGAATACCTCATTTTGATCTTTCTGCTGAAATACTTGCTCTAACTGTATTCAGAATAGGAAAGTAAAAAGCCAGGCCGGTGAGGAAAAGCCAGGCTAAGAAAAGCAAAACAAAAATACAAGGCAAACAATTTTTAGAACAATTTAATTAGTGGTAAATAGAACTATACAAACAAGCAATCAGCAGATCATTTCCTGCTAAACCACTAGTAATTATATCCTAACCTCAACTACATAATCTCATCTAGGTACATCACAATTCAAGGAACACAAACAGTCATTACAAAGTATTGCAGATTCACATTATTCCCTTATTTCAAAAGAGGCTCAAAATGTAAATTCTGTTTTTACTTAATCCAGGGGAGCAGTTGGAGCAGAAGAAAATGTTTAACACACATTCAATAGTTTTATAGTGCCAGGCTTTATAGTTCCTCATGTCACTAACAGCTGTAGGAAGCCAATGACAGTCAAGGAGTTCTGGCCTGCTAAAACACATCCATTGCCAAAACAAAGGATTACGCAAAGCAATAAATTTTACTAAATTTAGCTAGAAAATAATCTGATCTGATCTGGTTACAAGGACCTTTTGCAGGTTGTAGAAGGATAACAGAGTCTAGATTACATTACAACTATGACAATTCAGTTTTCTATTGATGCTAATATAATGAAATGTTACAAGGCACTTGAGTGTTATTGGGAAAAAAAAAATCAATAAAGGTGACGATATTAAAGCAATTCATCAAAAGCTAAATTTTTCTTTTAAAAAGTGCGTTTTAAAAAAATTAGCTTTTCAGGAAAAGAGAAGCTTGAGAGTTTAGTGCTAAGGTAGATGAAGGCACTTAAAAATTATGGTATAGTACTGGAGAAAAACGTAGGGCTAGAATTAGCATTAGGCAGAAATCTGGAGAGTGTAGGCTGTAGGATGTTACTGGGCACTGGTTGGCCATCCCTAATTTCCCTTAAACTGAACGGCTTGTTAGGTGACTTCAGAGAGCAGTTAAGAGTCAACCATTGCTGTCGGCCTGGAGTTACAGGTAAGATCAGGTAAGGATGGCAGACTTCCTTCCCTAAAAGACACTAGTGAACGAGATGGGTTTTCAAGCCAAGAGATGATAATGGTGACAATTACTAATCCCGTAGGATCTGAATCCACATTTCCAAGGCATTAACCTGAGCTTCTGGATTGCTAGTCCAGTTACATTACCATAATGCCACTATCTCCCCTCAATGCTTAATGAAACAATAGATATAGAACAGCAGTTACGAACAGGAACTTGATTTGATCTCCTATCTGACATCTCACCCCCTTTCTACTGAGGAAACCCTCAGGCTCCTTTTAGTTCCCCCTTAGCCATAACAAATCTCGTAATTCAGTGCAGACCTGAGATTAATCCAAGATTTTCACAGTCTATAGGTTTCAGTATCATATTGCAAGTTTACCATGTTTAATATTTGTACATCCGGTCCAGACAAGGGATACTATACATTTCTGCACATTTGCACGCACCAGCTAGAGAAGTGAGGTTGCCTTTACAGCAGAACAAACAGTAAAGTATTAAGAATGCTGGAAATCTAAAGTAATACTTGCAGAAAATGCTGAGAATACTCAGCATCTGCAGAGAGAGAACAAATTTCAGGTCAATGACCCTTTGACGACATCTGTGCAGAGTACATCAGTCCACTGAACTTTTCAGCATTTTCTGTTGTAGTTAAGGCCAAAGAGCTCTAATGGAGAGGTTTAAAACCATTCATGATTGAGTTGGAGAGGACACAGATTTGTGATTGGAAAAGCAGAAATGACAAGAACACATTCACAATTAGGATTTGGAACTTGCTACACAATAGGGAGAAGAATACAGATCCAATGGTAGCCTTCAAAAGGGAACTGGATAAATGTTTGGAGGAGGGAAAATTGCAGCACTACGGGAAAGCAACCGAGGGAAATAGGACTAACCAGACTGCTTCTTGAAAGAGTTAGTACTGACTTGATGGATCAAAGGATGTTAGTCTCTCTTGTACTATCCTGTTTCTGTGAGAATCTGGATCACTCAAAGATTCTTAGAACATGAAACTTACAATGGCACGTTTTAAATAAAAGAAATTATATCCAAGGTTTCAATGACTAAACCATCTTATCCACTCTTTGACCAGAAAAAGAAATACCTTTACACCACCCTTTATTTGAAAGCACTAAATGAGTGAAGGGTCAACAGTCTTTACAAATATGTGCAACTGTAAGCAGTCTATATGAAACAAGTTTGCCAAGATCAGATTCCACAAGGCAACAATGATTCCATATGGATCATGATCTGGGGAGCATAGCAGTCGGCAATTACTCAAAACTGGGGAAGTGACAGTATGACGTTACATGTAGCAAGGAAGCTGAACAGTATGTCAAGCTCAATGCACACTGTTTCCCACAACAATATCTCTTTGGCCTGAGGGATATTATTTATTGCTGTACTGTGAAAGTACACCCAGGATAAGCTATGCACAGGACCGAAACTTACTCGTCACAAATCCCTCAGGTTAGCAGAATGCATCTTGTCATATCTTAATTGTAATTGCACTTACTGAGCTAGCCAACCCCACTTTTAATCTGCAACCATATCTTTGGTGGCTAGGGATCATGTTAAGTGAATCCCAAGCATGAATTTCCATGTTCTATTGTCTGAACAAAAAGAAAAGAAAACTAAAGTGGGAAGAACATTAATCACAAACTGCAACCAAATACTTTTACCATTTTTGTAAGTTAGGAACAGTGACCCCAACTTATGGGCAGCAAAATCACATAAACAAAGAAATAACCAAATCATCTGTGGATTTGTTTTGCAAAGGTGTTGGATGAAGGGATAAATGTATAACACAAAGGAGTCTGCTAGATGGATTTAATCAGATCACTTTTGCATTAAGCATAAGAAGAGTATGCATTTAATATAACTAAACCAAACTACTACTTAGAATCACACTCCAAATTTAAACACAAGACATGCTGAAACTCGACACACAATGGTACAGGATGAGTTGTCCTCAATCTACAATAGGCACAATGACTCACCTTCAAGACTTTTTATTGCACGTCATCTGCAAAATATGTTGAAATGTTCAAGATTTTACTCAGTTACTGTGCTTTGTTCCCACGTCTTTGAGTTACTATACTTACGCGGCTAACTTTACAGCAGTCAAACTTTCCAAGTCAACAATAATTCAACTAGTCACTCACGAGACCAAAGCCTAATAATATTTTTCTTGTTTAATTCAGTAGCTTACAGGACTGCCAAGCATAAAGCCAGACTTTAATTAAAATAATAAGCTTGAATTTTATATGTATTTAACAGGGGAAACCCAATGCAAAAATTCTAGTACTAAAGGGAGCGCTATGCTATTGAAGGTGCTGTCTTTCAATCAAGGTATTAACCAGAGGTCTTACTTGACTGCTTAGTTAGATATAAAATACCATTGTTGAAGCTGGGGATTCTCCCCAGTATCCATCCCTCAATTTACATCTCAAAAAAGATTACCTGTCATTACCAAAATGCTATTTGTGGGAGCTTGCTCTGCACATATTGGTTGCAATGGTCCCTATATAACAAACTGACTATACCTCGAAAGAACTTAAATGCCCATAAAGCAGTTTGAGACATTCAAATTTGTGAAAACATGCTTTATAAATGTAAATCATTCTCACACAAACCATTCTATCCTGTCTGCCTATTTACGGATTGCAGTCACCTGTAAATGCTTCAATTAGATAATTTTTACCACCTTGGATAGGACGCGGCATCATATTTCTTGCTGATCCTTAATTTCCCTCAGTAAGAAATAGAGAACTGCCTTATTGGACGCCTGAAGTCCTTGGGTATAAGTGCAGCCAGTGTTAGGAACGGATTTCTAGGACTTTGACAATGAAGGGACATCAAAATGGTTCCAAATCAGGATGGTGGACACTTGAAGGGGGAACTTGTAGGTCGTGTCCTTGTCTTAAGTGGTTGAAGTCAGGGATTCAGAAGACTTTGTTGGAAGAGCCTGGGTGAGTTGCTACAGTGATGGTGCATACCACTGAAACACAGTAACAGCAGTAAGAATATTGAAGACGGTGGATGAGGTGCTAGTCAAGCGAGATGCTTTGTCCTGGATGGTGTCAAGCTTGAGTGGAGGTGCACGCATCCAGCCAAGTGGAAAGAATCACATATCTGCCTTCTACCTTGTAAATGCTGACAAAGATTGGGGAAGCAGGAGTTGAGTTACTTGTTGCAGAACTGCCAGCACATTGACAATGAGAGATTCAATAATGATAATGCCACTTAACATCAAGGGATGATAGTGGGATTCTCTCTTATCAGAGATGGCCATGTCCTGTCACTTTTGTCGCACAAATGTAATGGATTGAGTACCAACCAGTACTTACTGCATATATACAGGAGTATCTGACAAGCTCCAAGTGATAATGAACACTATTCATCTATGACTGCACATCTGCACTTCTAACCTTACGATAGAAAAGAGGAGCTGAAGACAGTTGGGCCTAGGACACTATTCTGGAGGTACTCCTGCAGCAAAACCTCAAAGCTAAAATTATTAAACATACGAACATCTGTTTAAGACAAAACAGATTTATTTAGGCACTGCTCACAATATCCTAAAGGATTCATTAATGTGCGACAGGAGATACGGCAATTACGATTTATAATATAGTTACAACTTTACAGCGAAGCCACTCTATCAACAACAATTAACACATCTGGAGATATCAGTCAGAGCACTACAACAAGAACATGTCATCCACTTGAGGAGGACTGAAGCTAAAAACATTTAATTCACCAGGGTTGATCCCTGCACAGACTCAACAATCTCTTCGTTCACGGATATCACATCAGGTAATTCATCAACTCGAGGTTTCTACCCGACCCTAAAGATAGTCATGCAAAGCTCAAAGCCCAGCCGAACTTCCAGCTTCTTTACTCCAGACATTTCCATCTCTTCAGCAGAAGAGGAGCCACAGCTGCTGGAGTGTGAACACAGGCCAGAGCCTCAGGAAGGATGCATTATTGAATCCTAGTAATGGTTACAACACAGCTGAGGCTAGTCAGCCTTCATCCAAGTCACTCAGATAATCCCACACTCGACCTTTGCATGGTTGCCTTAAGAAAAAATCTTGATAGGTAACCATTTTGAAAGTCATGAACCTGCTTCCACCTCAATCTTTTAGTGGTCAGAGAAAGCCCAATGCACACTCACTAGAATAATACCAGGGCTAAAGGATATAATTGTATTAAAGGCTACATGGCCACATTTAATAACATTCCAGGGTTATGCAATTAAGGTATGGCATTAAGGTGTCAAAGATGTTGAAAGGATTTAATGGGGTAGAAGTTATTTTCTCTGGAGCAGAACTTAAGAAGTAGCCATACCTTAAAACGAGAGCTAGGGTGATGATATTCATTTGTTTGGTGTAATACGGAGGGAGGGCTGCATTCCTAAAGGAGTCAACTTTCAGAAACTGTGCCATCTTGTTATCCAACTCTAGCTGCTCAAGGAGAATAAGAAAGATCACTGAGTGAAAATGTTTCCCTCAGTTGCTACCTGATCTGGAGATTTCTCACATTTCCAGTTTTATTATAAAAATCCAAAGGCACTATTTGGAGAACAGCAGAGAGCTCAGTATCTTGTCCACACAACCCTCTTAAAATCAGCAAAAGAGAGAACCAGTTAACTCTCATCCTCTTTCTCAACAAAACAGGACAACAAACGCTTTCACAGTGCTGAGAACGGCTTTCTGTAAAGACTTAGATTTATACAACACAATTCACAAAATGAGACTGTAACAAAGCACCTCAAGAGCAGACAATGCATTTCAAAATGTCACTACTTTGTAATTGGGAAGCACAGCAGCATCATGACAATGATTAGATCATCTCTTTTAGTGATGTCAGTTGAGCAATTGTCCTCCTTATTTTCTTAAACACAGCACCACAGGAGGTTTAATATTCCCCAGAGCGGTCAGTTAAACATCTCACCCAACAACACACTTATACAGTCCAAGTTGTACAGCATTGAAACAGACGCTTCGGGCCAACTTGTCTATGCCAACCAGATATCCTAACTTATTCTAGTCCCATTTGCCAGTGTTTGGCCCATAATCCTCTGAACCCTTCCTATTCATATACCCATCCAGATTGTACCAGCCTCCATCACTTCTTCTGGCAGAAGAACACATATACGCACCATCCTCTGCGTGAAAAAGTTGCCCCTCAGGCCCCTTTAAATCTTTCCCCTCTCACCTTAAACCTACACCCTCTAGTCTTGGACTCCCACAACCCAGGGAAAAGACTTTGGCAATTCACACTATCGTGCCCCGCATGATTTATAAACCATTAAGGTATTCTGTCAGCCACCAACGCTCCAGGGAAAATCACCCCAGCCTATTCAGCCTCTCCCAATAGCTCAAACCCTCCAACCCCAGCAACATCCTTGTAAATCTTTTCTGTACTCTTTCAAGTTTAATAATATCTTTCCTATAGCCGGAAGGCCAGAACTGAACTCAGTATTCCAAAAGTGGCCAAACCAATGTCCTACAGCCGCAACACTCCTATACTCAATGCACTGACCAATAAAGGCAAGTGTACCAAATGCCTTTTTCACGACCATGTCTACCTACAACTTCACCTTCAAGGAATTATGAACCTGCACCGCTAAGTCTCTTTGTTCAGCAACAGTCCCAAGGACCTTACCATTAAGTGTATAAGCCCTACCCTGATTTGCTTTACAAAAATGCAACACCTCACATTTATCAAAATTAAATTCCAACTGCCACTCGTCAGCCCATTGTTCCATCTGATCCACTTGAAAGTGATCATCTCTACCTGCTTCAGTTCTAATCCTTGATCATCTTCTTTCCAGAAGAGATTCAGAATCAGTGAGGAGTGTTGTTTTTACAAGATGTCTCACAATAACTAGGAGTAGGCTATTCAGGCCCTTCAGTCTGTTCTGCAATTTAACATGATCATGGCTGATCTCATCTCTGCCTCAACTCCTCTTTCCTGCTTACTCCCCATAATCAGTCAACACTTTACTAATTTAAAAATCTGCCTGCCTATCTCCTCATTAAGTTTATTGAGTGACCCAGCATCCACCACACTCTGGGCAGTGAATGTCTGTGAATTCAGAAACAAAGACAGAAATTGCTGGAAAAGCTCAGCAAGTCTGGCAGCACCTGTGGAAAGAAATCAAAGTTAACATTTTGGGCCGAGTGACCCCTTCTCAATTTCTGATTTACAGCTCCCACAGTTTTATCGGTCTGTGAATTCACATTTGATTCGTATCTCATTAACTTAGGAGCAATATATTTTCCAAACAGTTACTTCACACAAACTCTGTTGTTAACAAGGTCGAACAATTTCATTAGACGTGGGTAATACATCACTGTTTTGCCATTACAACAACTGACAGCTCTGGCCCCTCAATCTAGGGAGGCAATATCCAACTTGGCCCCAGAGGTAACATTCCCCTCTGTCAGGAGAGGGAGGGCAACGTGCCCACCCTGACCCCTCCACCTAGGCAAGGGGCCAGGGATCATGTCCACCCTGACCCCTCCACCGGGAGGGTGGGAGGGCAACGTACTCACCCCA